TTGGGGGTCACTCTTGAGATGATAGCGCACTCAGAGACCCAGCCAGCAGCAGCCTCTAGTCCTGATTACTTGTAATGATGATTACCCAAACTCCAGAACTGGAACAATAGATTCTCCAGAGATGTGGTATCTAATTGAACCACTGTGCCGTATGCGTACAGGTAAGGGAACTTTGATCTGTCAGTTAGACTTCTGTTACAGAGGCCTGGTTTCCTGTCTCCCGCCCCCCTTTCACTTTAAAGCATATTGAGGCCTAGATTTTTTTTATTTAAGCCATCAACCTATGAAAGGCAGAGGCTGGGGAGAAGGCTCAGGCAGTAAAGTGCAGTGGTGGTCCCAAGTTTGATCCCCAGAACCAGGGCACAAAAGCCAAACTCATTGACATACCCTTGTAATCTCAGAGCTGGGCAAGGGGACAGAGAGAGCAGACCTTTGGGGCTCAGAGGCCAGCAGACCTAGTTAGTCTACGTGGCAAAACTCAAGGTGAACTGTACCCAAGGGCAGACACCCGAGGCTATCCTGGCCCCCACATGCATGTATACGCACATGACTCGAGAAAGCATTGACCTTCTTTGGGTTCTCCAAACCCTTGTTTCCTCATCATTGTGAATATTAGAAGTGAGTGGAAGATGCCAATCAGTGCTGGTTGCATAAAGCTATGCAATGCCAGTTCTGCGATCAGGTCTTGGGCCTTGATACCATCAGAGCCTTCCTGCGAACCTTTCGTTTTAGTTCCTTCATCCAGTATTCAAATTTGTCTGAAAGTGGTGATCTGGGCATGTGTCTTCCCTGACTTACATAGAAAAAAGGGTAGGCCTCCCAAGGATGAACTCCTGTAGACTGGTACTATTTAGTCCCCCAAAGTCCCCGTGAGTGCCCCCACCATGCTGCACCATAGTGGTTTGGCCTTTAGTGTGCCCCCATAAGTAACCCTTGCCCTGTTACCGAAATGTCAAAGGTCTGGGGTGACCCCAGACTTGGCTTTTCTTTTTGCTTATGTGTATATATGAGTATATCTGCACAGATGTGCAGGTGCCCATGCAGCCCAGAGAGTGCGCCAGATCCCTTGGAGCTGGAGTTATAAGTGGTTGTGAACCACTGGATGTGGGTGCTGGGGACTGACCCTGGGTCCTCTGGAAGAACAGCTGGTGCTCTTAACTGCTGAGACATCTCTCCAGCCCCTGGGATGAGGCTTTCTTACATGGTTCAAGAACTATCTGTCCTCTCCCCATAGCGGCGACACCATTTGGTACTCATGTCTGAGAGTCAAAAGTGGGGTATTATAATAAAACCATTACAGACTTTGTCTGCTTGGCCCTCTCTGCTGACCATGCCAACAGACCAGTTCTGGTTTCCCTGGGAGGGAAGGAAGGGACAGACATGGAGCCCTTGTCCCGCCACCCCTAGCCCCTGCAGGTTACCCCCCAGCCCCCAGACTGATGCAGTCATGGTGAGCTAAGGCTGGTGTCTGCCCCGGGCTGGCCCATGAGGAGCCGCTGGAATGATCAATGAGGCCAAGCAGCTGGGTCCGCGCTGGCCGCTGTGAATCAGCAGCCTCTGCCTTGCCTGGATCCATCTCCCCAGAGCAGGGAACACTCGAGCTGTGCCCAGCCAGGCTGACTCGCGTCTGGCTAATGGCTTTTCTGTGTCCCGCATCGACCTTGGCACCCTACGTTTGAAAGCTCCCAGAGACAGTGTTGCTGGTTGATGCCGCTCTTCTTTGAGCTTTCCAGTGAGAGACCTTGACAGGACTTTGAGAGTGGGTGACTTCAGACCCAGAATTCTTTTAAAACTTGAGGTAAAATCTACGGGACATGAAATTAACCTTTTAAACACATTTTATAAGTGTATATCGATTTTCTATAACATGGCATTGTCATGCATGTGTGCGATGCATTTTAACTATAATTATCTCCCATGACCTTCTTGTCTCCTCTCCTATTGCTGCTGATCCCTCCCCAGCTCTCCCCCCTTTTTACCTTCATGCCTGTGTCCCACCCATCTACTCCGCAGCTTTTGGTAACCCTAGTTTTATCTGGGCTGCTTACAGGAGCATATACAGTAAATAGCTTAGGGGCTATCTACTCCCAGTAACATGGGCTAGTGGCTACAAGACATGAGAAAACATCTCTTTCTTCCCCTAGCAACCATTAACTATCTTTAGATCCAGGTGGGGGTGGGGGGCAGCAAAGACAACTTTGCGTGGTCTTCCTTCCCACTTATGCTGGTCCCAGGGTTGGAACCCAGGGAGTCAGGTTTGTGTAGCAAGCACCTTCATTTGCTAGTCAGCCGTCTCCAGGGACCCTCCCGCCTTTACCTCCCCATCGTGGAGAGTCTAGGTGCCTGCCACACGCTTGGCTTTTCTGGTGTTGTTGGGGGGGCGTGTCTACGTTCAGTGCCTTAAGCCTGTGTGGCAAGCACCGCACTGACTGAGCTGTCCCCAGGCTCCTGTGCTGCTTCTTTGGGCCTGCCTGACAAAATGACCCATACTGGGTAGTTAAACCACAGCGATTTATTTCCTGTGTCCCTGCTTGTCTCTGCGCTGGATTAAAGCCTATCCCAGTGGTATCTTTTTTTTTTAAAAAAAAAATTATTTATTTATTATGTATACAATATTCTGTCTGTGTGTATGCCTGCAGGCCAGAAGAGGGCACCAGACCTCATTACAGATGGTTGTGAGCCACCATGTGGTTGCCGGAAATTGAACTCAGGACCTTTGGAAGAGCAGGCAATGCTCTTAACCACTGAGCCATTTCTTCAGCCTCCCAGTGGCATCTTTTAAAATATCCCACCAAGAGATTTCAAGATCTGAACTCTCAGAGGGGGAAACTCTTCAACCCAGAACACACACTGAGTGGCTTCAGTATCAACACGCCATTCCTTTTTGTGGCTGAGTAATAGTCCACTGTCTGTGACCATCGGGTTTTTAAACACCACGCATGAGCGATTGCCGTTGACCTCCGCACCCACTGAGTGGCAGAGCACCGGCCCCAGCTCATGTAAGGTGGACAGTTGATCTCACAGGTATCGCTTTGTCCTTGTGGGACGTCTTTGTTAGTTTTTCCGGAACAAAAAGTAGAAGCTGTACTGGACACAGGGGAAGCCAGGTCAAGCCTCTGATTCTCTGATTTGTTTTAAAAATGGGCCGAGCTCCCAGCTTCCTCTGTCCTCTCCCTGCTCGTATCTTACGCCTCCCCTCCCCACAAGTTCACAAACACACATTAAAAGCATTTTAAACACGGACTCGTTCTGGACAGGACCATGGCCAGATAGGAAGCATAACCCTTGGAGAAGATCCAGCCAATAGCCTGGTTCGTTGTCATGGTTACTGGGCCTGGTCCCTTGAGCTGGCTGCAGACTGGAGCCTGTTCGGATTATCTTCACACTCCCTGCCTCAGTATGAAGCAGGCGGTGGAGGGATTACCTTGTGACAGGAGACCTCTGAGCTCTGGTGCTGACTTGAATATTTCAGTCTTCTCTAAAGTTAGCAGATTCCTCTCTCTTGCACACAGATGGGGACTGTGCATCCCTGCTAGCCAGGACCCTTTTAGGAGCAACTGGGCCTCCTCATTACCCTGCCCAAGATTCAGGTCTTGGCGGTGGTGACTTTGTGTGCTGGCAGAGTCCTGACCCAAGCAGAAATGTCCCTTGTGCAAAAGTTATACCTCTCTCCCCTCCCACACACGCAGGGTGTGTCACTAAATTCATTTTGCCACCAGGAAGTCCACCTGCTGGGCTGGGATTGGTTTTTTGTTTGTTTGTTTTGTTTCTGTTTGAATTGTTATTGTTGCTTCTTTTTTGTTAATGTACTGAATTTTAGTTGTGTGTGGGTAACTGCCGTCCCACATGCGTAGGGGCCAGAGAACAGCTTCATGAGCCAGTTCTCTCCTTCTACCAAGCGGGTTTCAGGGACCAAGCTCAGGTCGTCAGGCTTGGTGGCAAGTGCCGTGTTCTGCTGAACTGGGCCATCTCACAGCCTCAGACTCGGAGAGAGGCAGGAGAGAGAGTTGGACAGCTTAGGGATGAAGATAGTAAAGACAGCATTTCAGTCCCGGATTGCTCCATGACCCCACTGTAGGGTTGACACGTGGCCTTTGAACTCCGGAAGACCCCACACCATTAGTACATTTGGTTGAAAACGATACCAGAGAAGTTCCTCAGCATGGCACGGGCTCCTCGAACTGAGTCATGTGACATGCAGATTTGTAGCTTTGTAAGCATCTAGGGGCCTTAGCGTTCGTGAATGCCTGCGACAGGATTATCAAGAGTTCCAGGCCAGTGTGGGCTTGGCAGAGACTGTCTCAGAAACAATTATTCTTGCCTGGCATGAGTGAAGCCCTAGGTTCAGTCCCCAGCATTGAATAAAACGGGGTTGGTGGTACTCACCTGTAACCCCAGCACCCGGGAATTCTCGGTGGCAGAAGGAGCAGAAGTGTAATGTCATCCCTGGCTACATGGCGAGTTTGAGGCCAGCTTGCACTTCATAAGATCTGTCTCACAAACAAGACCAAGTTGGATTGGGTGTGACAAAACCAACCTTTCTCACGATCCTGTCTAGCCACCTGTGAGAACTGCTATTCTAGGCGGGAGCAGATGCAGGTGACAGTTAATCCCTGTGCCCAGCAATGCTGCCAATTAGCTAGAAAGCCAGGACAGAAATAACACACCCTAGGCTGCCTTTGGCCAAGCCAAATAGAACACCGACTGCCTTTAACCCTGTACAGCCAGACCGCTCTCAGCATGGGCCTGAGCCCCAGGGGGCACTTGGTATGCCCACTTATTCTTCCCAGGAACGTGCCGCTCCTGCCTTCTGCTCGCCCCCAATTCTCTGCCAGGCTCCAAGGAAAGTCACCTTAGACCCAAGTGGCTGCTGGCTTTTCTCAGCAGAAGGTGGATGTGATTAGCGTCTGGGTATCCTGTCGCTGGAGGACAGTGTGGGGATTCGTCAGAGGCAAGCTGGGGCTGACCTCTCTGTTTCCCCTTCTCTGTTTGCTTTGCAGTATAAAATCGGACAGCTGTATATGATCAGCAAGCACAGTCACGAGCAGAGCGACCGGGGCGAAGGAGTGGAGGTCGTGCAGAACGAGCCCTTTGAGGACCCTCACCACGGCAATGGGCAGTTCACCGAGAAGCGAGTGTATCTCAACAGGTGAGTCTCTCGCGCCTGGCGCTACCCTGACAGCCAACCATATTACTGCTTCAAAACCAGAATCATCCATCAGGAGAATGTGAAGATTCTCTTGAAGCTACCTTGGATGACGTAAAATGAAATCTGATCTATCCCGAGGTCAGTGCTAACCAGGAAGAGGAAATGACTGTGGCTTGACATAGTTGGGGATCCAGCAGCCCCTGTGACTATGGGTCTTGCTTAATAGGTTTTCCACATACTGTCCGATGTCCCTGCGAGTTCCCAGAGAGCTAATGATGGCTAAGGTGGCTTCCATTTCCCTAAGGGACCCACCCTTCCTGTGGTCATTGTTCTCCTTTTGGGTACATTCTAAACCAGCACTAAGCCAGGCTATGCTTTCTGCTTTGCAAAATGTATTTGTTTTTTAATATCTTCTGTTTCCTTACTGTCAATGACATAATGGTTTGGGGCTTGTCCAGTCCTCTCCCCATTCTATATCCCCATCCAGCCATTACTTTTCTGTTAATATTCTCTGGCTCAGAATATTTGTAGTGAAGCGTTAGGAATGTGTGCAATGCTAGTAGGAAGGCCCTTGAGTTCAGATCTCCGGCCCAGCATATACCTATGATCCCACTGTTGGGAGGCAGAGATAGGATTATTCCAGGATATCATTGACCAGCCAGTCTAGCCAGATCAGTGTGCTCTGGGTTCAATAAGAGACTCCGCATTCAAACACTAGACAGAGAGTGGATAAGGACAATACCCAACGTTGACTTCTTGCCTCCATGTAACACACACAGACTCAAATATTTGTAGTTATATATGAAGTATATTTTTATTGAAATTAACTGCTCAACAAACAAGCCTTGTATTATCCTTTCCACAGTGTATTTACACACACAAACACACGCACACGCACACACGGGCCTGCCACTGCCATACCCTCTGGCTCATTTGTGACTGTGCAGAAGCATTTCCGACACACCAACTGGACAACTCCGCTTACTCCCTGGCCTCCCCGTGAGTGTTGCCCTATCCTCAGTGGCTTGAATGTGGTCATTTTCTTTGGGGTGGTGGTGGGGAACATATTTAGGCACATCTCTCTCCCAAAGGCTGAAGTAGACGATGCTGTCAGAAGAGATTTCCACTCCCGTCAGCAGAGTGTGTGGAAGTCTTCCAATCCAGTACCTTGACAGCGAAGGCCTTGGGCTGATCAACCAAATATGTTTTCAGCTGCCCAGGGATACATTACCCTGGAAGTCTTGAGTCACGCTGAAATGCAGACGAGATGGATCCCATTCATCTCTTGGAAGCTGCGGGTTCCCGTGGTTTAGAAGCAGCTCAGGCCCCAGCCAAATGTTTATCTGCCAAAGTCACTGGGCCCTGGGTATGGCTAGAGACAGATCTTCTGCTCCGGTCTTCTCAGTGTGGAGGGTGTCAAGCACACAGGAGCGGGTGCCCCTCGGGCATCACCTCCAAGGAGCAGGGAGACATGTAGGACGGTCGTGAAAATAGAAACTGGAAAATTCCATTTCTCGGCTACAGTTGCATTCGCTTAAGTGATTGCCTGGGGACAGTTCCCTAAAGTACCCATCCAGAGAAAGGTTAGAAACTTTATAACTTTTGCTGGAGCAGAAGACGTCTCCAGCTGTCTGTCATGTCTGTTTTCTCTATCTGAATATATGGTATTTATTTTAAAGGAGTCATAAACACAGCGAGAGGGAAATGCGTTATAAATAGACTCTGCGCACTTCCAGTAATAGTAACTGGAAAGATTAGCGTCGACCCTCCCCCACTTCCTATGACAAACACAGGATGAAATATAACAATATAAAGCTGAGCTTAAAACAAAGAAAGGGAAATCCTTAGGTCCTGGAGTCAGAATGGGAAAAGGACCAGAGAGCGAATGTCATGGAAACTGAGTGAGACATCAGGACCACTGTAGCCCTGATATCCGGGAGTAGGGGTTTTGGACCCATACCGGGACAGGACATTTGGCCTCAGGCCTACACACATGGGGAGGATCTGCGAGTCAGCCGTGCCTACTGGTTCACGACAGACTGACACGCTCAAACTGAAGAGATGGCTCGGGGTTAAAAGCGCATCATAGTTTGGTCCCCAGCACCCACGTTAGGTGTGGTTCACAGCCACTTGTAACTCCAGCCCCAGGGTGTCAGTGCCCTCGTGGACATATATAAACACACACACACACACACTTACAATAACAATTAACAGTGCTTTAAAAAGAAAGAACAGCTAACAGATACTTCCACAAGGTTCAAACTTAAGGAGAAGGAGCGTATAGAAGAAATTGGTACCCCCCCCCACACACACACACGCCAGGCTGACCGAGCACAGAATGCTGTACAGGCGCGGACATTGACTCGTTGTGGTGTCTTTGTAGCATCAAAACAATAGACAACAATAATAGAAGATTAAAGGGTACTTATTATAATGAAGGAAATGCTTCTAGATGCTAATATAATTTAGGGGTTGAAGAGAGATGTTGATTTTTATCTGACACCGTGGGAAGGTACTAGTTAGTGCAGTAAAACAAGAGAGTGGGGCTGGGGATGATTCACATTGGTAGTGTGCTTGCCTGCTGGGAAGTTCATTTTGTCAACTTGACATAGTCTAGAACCCCCTGGGAAGAGAAACTCTCAATGAGGGACTGTCTCGGTTGGGCGTGTCTGGGGGGCGTGTGAGGGCGTTTCTATGGGGGCTGTCTTGATATGTTAATTGATGTGGGAAGACCCAGTTTACTCTGGGGAGCATCCTTCCCAAGGCAGGGGATCCTGGACTGCGGGAGAGTGGCGATGTAGAGCTGAGTGCAAGCTTGCACGCGGTCCTTCCCTGCTCTTGTCTGTGGGTACGACTAGCTGTTTCACCTTCCTGCCACCTGGATGCCTCCCATCATGATGGGCTGCTGCCTGGGCTATGCTCACCCCTTCAGCTGCGTGTGTCAGAGTAAACCAAGGTAGCTGGCAGGCATAACACACGCACGCACGCATGCATGTGTACCATAGAGAAAAAAAGGAAAAAAAAAACTAAACTATCAGTTATAACTAGAATCAATGAATGGGAATTAAGGATCTTGCACATAGTTATTAAGATCAACATAAGAAATCAGTAAGGAGACAGAGACAGAGACCCACATTGGAGCACCAGACTGAAATCTCAAGGTCCCAATCAGGAGCAGAAGGAGAGAGAGCACGAGCAAGGAACTCAGGACCGCGAGGGGTGCACCCACACACTGAGACAATGGGGATGTTCTATCGGGAACTCACCAAGGCCAGCTGGGCTGGGTCCGAAAAAGCATGGGATAAAACCAGACTCTCTGAACATAGCGGACAATGAGGACTACTGAGAACTCAAGAACAATGGCAATGGGTTTTTGATCCTACTGCACGTACTGGCTTTGTGGGAGCCTAGGCAATTTGGATGCTCACCTTACTAGACCTGGATGGAGGTGGGTGGTCCTCGGACTTCCCACAGGTCAGGGAACCCTGATTGCTCTTTGGGCTGATGAGGAGGGGGACTTGATCGGGGGAGGGAGACTTGATGGGGGGAGGGGGGAGAAATGGGAGGAAGTGACGGGGAGGAGGCAGAAATGTTTAATAAATAAATTTAATAAAAAAAATAAAAAGGATAAAAAAGAAATCAGTAAGGTGGCTGTGTAAATTCATACACAAGAATCGATAGCATCACTGTGTTTATCACGCCACACATTACGCGTGTAGGTCAGAGATCGGAAGAACAGCTGCAAGAACTTAATTTTGAAAACAAAATCCATTCGCAGTAGAAAAAGAAACTTAGAGGTACTTGGTTACAAATCACTTAGTTATAATTGTGTAAACTTTGGAAAATTAAACGAGGCGTGGGTTTGGAATGAGAATGACCCCACAGTTTGGGGTGGGGGCGGGAGGATTAGAGAGACAGTGAGCATCTACTACTCACTGTACGATTGCATTTTCAGTCAGCAATACAGCCAAACCTCTAGTTCACAGCATACATGTAAAAATAAATTACAGATCAATGTCATCCCCAAATGTGGAAAAAGTGGAGGGAAATATAGATAAACATCCTCTATTATTAGCAGAGTGGGATAGGCCTGATAAGACATCAGGACATGGACAGATGATAATGTTTTTATATAACAAGTTCTGGCACTTAAATAGAAGCTCTTTCAAATAAAATTTCTAAAAGTGTGTGTGTGTGTGTGTGTGTTCCTGTATGTATGTGCAAATGCATGCAGTTCCCATGGAGTCCAGAAGGGGGCATCAGATTCAGATTCCTGGGGCTGGAGTTAAAGGTGGTTGTGAGCTGCTTAGGGTGGGTGCTGGGAACTAGATTTGGGCTCTCTGCATTAGCACTGTGCGCTTCTGACCTCAGAGCCATCGCTCCAGCCATAATTTCTTTTTAAATCAACAACTAGGGGCTGGAGAGATGATGGCTCAATGGTTAAGAGCACTGACTACTCTTCCAGAGGACCCCAGTTCAGTCCCCAGGACCCACATGGCACTCACAACTGTTTGTAACTCGTTCCAGGGGATCCGTCCAACACTCTCATAAAGACAAACTCCAACGCAATGAAATAAAAATAAATAAATCATTTGAATTAACAACTAAAATGACCAGACAGTCCATTCGGACCTCGAGAAGGGGGTTGGAAATGCAACTCAGAGATGAGGAAGTACAAACACGGAGAGGCTCACCTCACCAGGAGGCAAGAAAACAGATTAAAACAAGGACATCTCTACCCACACTCATCAGAGTGACAAAAATTAAATGTGATGAGCCTAGGGATTATCAAGGATGTGAGAAAACAACTCCCTTCCAGCGCTGGAGGGAGCCGCAAGCCGGAATCACCTCTCTACAGAACCATTGGCAGTAATGGGGAAAGTTGGAAATACTCATGCCTCCTGTTTACCATCCTACCTCAGGGTGGAACCTCACAGAATTACTGTGTTGTGCCTAAGAGACAGGCACCATGCGATCCGTTCTGTCACTGACTGCAATGG